AAAAAAAGTAATAATAAAATAAATAAAATGATTAATTTGAAATAAGACATAAGGAATAATCGTGTAAAATAATCCCAAGACCTCGATCTCTTTTTATTACAGCTATTCAAAATTTTCGAAATTTTGGCAATATTGTAAACTTATCAATTCGGCCATAAGTAACTTTTCCAGTTATCCCAGGATTTATGCTAATATCTTTAACTTATAAACCGTATTTTTAGGCATTTTTTAATACTGCTCGCTTCTTATTCATACTTTGACTTTCACCGGACTTATCGAGAATTATGTTAATGCTGGTCAAATTAAACAATTACAACTGTTTTATACAGTAAATTCTAGAATATCTGAAACATTTTTCGATGGCTGAATCGATAAGTTACTAGGTCAGAATCAATAAGTTATTGACATTAAATGACAATCAGTTGCCACAGAGATTACGAAAATAGCTGTAAATTGTTTCAATTTTTAAAGATTATTTATATTAATATTTCCATGTCAGATATAAAGGAAAAGACTATTAACATATCTCTAGTAACATCCGGCTGATATCGGTGTAGTATCCAGATATCAGCCGGATATCATACTGTAGAAAAGCCGAATGTTCTGATTGATAAAAATACCGATGGTTAATCAAAAAAGTATCTGAATCCAACCACTATTATAGACATTACTTTATAGACGATTGACATTATTTAAAAATATAAACTTACTTTATAAGAATTTCAAATACTAATGGTGAAATATTAGGTTTATTGAAAATGATGATTCCATTTTCTCTCCTTGCCCATTGTGATGACAATGCAGTTTTAAAGTAAACCGATCTTGCTGATAGAATACTAGAATGAGCTTCAAATTCTTTAACATTTGGTTCTTCACCAGCTTTAATTTTTATATCAAAATCTTCAAGCAAATTTGAAAAATCTTTAATAAAATTTTGATTAGGCTCGTTATTCATATTTATGAATTAAAATAAACAATGAATACAAAAAAGTTATATTTTTTTTATAATATTTCACGCAAGCTTTATTAACATAAACCGTTACAATGAACATTTATATGTAGGTCCTAAAATGTATCCCGGAGTGCATCCCGGTTACACTAAAATTCCCAAAAAGCATAAACAAATAAAAAAAATATGCAATTAAATATCGCACAAATTAACAGTTAATATAAATTTAATCATAACAATAATTAGTACATGCGTATTGTTTTTTTTTTAAAAAAAAAGGACTGAATAAGGCCGATTAGAATTATATCTATTCAAGATATTCCTATACATTTTACCAAATAACGATTTGAATTGAATGTATGCTTCTAACTTGATTTGTAGTTGTAGTGTTATCCATACGTGTGATTGTACAACTGCTACCGCATAAAATGTCCTCAGTCTCGTGATTTTAAACCAATCACAACACAGGATCAGGCATAATGCGAAAACAAAATAAACTACTCGGAGTTTTTCAAAAAATCGTCCGTGACTCAAAATCTCGCCCATAAAACACCTTCTGCATCTTAACAAAAAAAAATCCTTACAAGATTTTACTATATCCTTTCTAATGTCGTCTTAATACGCTCATCCTTACCTCTTGATCCATCAAAATGGGATTAAACTGGCCCGATCCTTGGATGGGCTGAAGGACCGTTGGTCCAGGACCGGATTGATTAATAGCCCTAATTACAATTAGGGATGGATTCGGTCGGTTACGGTCGGTTATCGGTCGGTTAACCACTTATAACCGGCTAGCCGTGGCCGCTTATTTAAAATATTTTTAAAAAAGTGACTCGATCTCGAAGTTTTAGCCGATCCGTATCGATCTGTTTATATATATATACTTTAATGTTACAGATGTTTTCATAATTCTGGGACACCTGATAAAAATTTGCCGAATGATTTTTCGGCCGATTCAATTAAGTTATTGATTTCGGCAATGATCGGTGTATATTTTACTTGTAAAATTATTTTATCATTATAAGGTAACAGGAGGGAACGTCGGTGTTACACTGTGCAACATATAAAAAAATTATCATATTTTACAACACCAGATCATTCCGCTAGTACATATTTTTATAATCATAACATGTACTAGCGGAATGATCTGGTATTGTTAAATAATTTTTTTATATGTT